CACTGTGAGGAGATACGAGAGAAGAGCTCGGTAGGGCATCCCAAGTGAGACAGGCCAGAAAGTGGAAAGACAGAGACTAAAATTAAGATAAACAAATGAGAAGATTGAGTTATTCTGCCAACATCATGAAAACCTTCAGTCATTATCCCAGAAAATGGGACTAGATCATCTTGAGTGTGGGCATGCTTGTTTCCCTGAAATGAATTTCAGTTTGAAAGACGGAATGAACCTTCTATTTGTCATCTTCGGTGAATCTGGAGTCTCTCCAATCTGTCATTTTGCTATTTGGTGGAGTGTGGAAGGGGCTCTTGTGACCTTTCTAATTCAGAGGCCAGGGATCACTCTCTTGCGGACTTAAGAACACCCAGAAAAAGGGAATAGAATGCTTCCCAATGTCACCATCTTTCTGAAAGGAGTTTTGGCTACGTCTCAAAATCAGAAGCCTCTAATTAACGGTCTTCCCCTCACCCGACTGCTACACCTAAATCCTCAGAAAATTTGTGAGGCTCTGAAACTGGTTTTCGGAAACTGATGGTTTTACTGAGCCAACACCGATAAGGCCTTACTTTCTCATGAAGTATAGAATCTACTGCTGTAGTGGCAGCACATAGAAAACCCGCAGCACCTGAGGAAGAGTCACTGCTGGAACCTGGCGGGAAAATCTGTGAGTGCATCCAGATTGCATCCTTTTCCAGGTTGCGAGTGCAACCTCCACATGATCGGCTGGCCCCATCCGACACTATCTAGTGGGGCAGCAACACTGGCTAGAAGGCTGGGATGGGGATGTGTCTTCTCTGTTTTTGTCTTCCCGACACCAGACTTAGTGCCTTCACTTATTAAGTGATTCAAAACAGTGAAAGAAATGAATGAATGAATGAATTAATGAATGAATGGATTTATAAAGCTCTGCCCCTAGAAAAGTACAAGCTACAATTCGGTAGAAGTTTGTTATGTCCCTTCCTGTGTGATGCTCAGTTCTTGTGGACAGTTACGGGATAAAAGCACACATCTGGAAAAAAAAAAAAAAAGGCACTATTCCTAACAGACCTATTAGCCCCAAGGGCACTTGAGAAAGTTCACAAAGCTGTTAGAGCTCCCTGACCTCCGTCCCAGATGAAGGTGGGTGGGCAGAGAACTCTGGCACCCACTGCGTCTTCTGCCTGCCAAATTGACTCCAACATCTATGTACCCATTCAGATTTGGGCACACTGTTGCCCTCTTTTTCTCCAGTAACCCCCAAATCACTCTTTTGGCTGTTTGTTTTTGAGATTGGTCCTCTAAGATCAGGCAGCTGAGGGATCTTTGAATCAGAGTAATTTAATGCAGCTTTGCATTCTACCCAAATCATAGGCTGTTCTACTTAACCTTTCTACTACTAGTTCCTTGCCACACCTGTTATTACATTGCTGTCGCTGCTCCTTTGCAATCTGCTCCCCACTTGTACTCTTGGAAACTGCAACTAAAGAGACCAAGGAAAGCACAGATTTGAAGAGCCTTTTTTTTGGCACCAGTCATCACTCCCTAGAGGCCTGATTAAGAATGACAGTGAAGCACAAAGAAGCTATACACCTCTTTATGGTGGCAGACTTTAGGCAGATGTTAGGAGAGGGGACCCAGAAAATAAATACTATGTGTAACTGTCAACACTGTTTCTGTTCCTATGAAACAGGTTGGACCAAAGTCCCATGATCTCTGTCCAGTGTTTGCCCCATGTGCATGAGTTCAAAATAAACAATCTGTGACCTCTGTTTAAGCTTAGCATGAAACTGCAAAATATGTAAGATGTTGCTATCTGCTGTGCCTAAGAACATTGGTTTTATTTAGGGTGGATTTTTCCTTTGCTTTTTGCATTCTAAAACAGACCTATTGCATGTTTTATGGACTCTGTTTCCAGCATTACTTGCAGTTCTTGGTGTGGTAGTGATTTGGGGCTTTCCTAGCACAGTTGTTGAAATAAAGGCTGCTGCCCTGTTTTGTTTCTCCTTTTGTACTGACTAAAGGCATGTTGACCACTACTTATTAGCTCTTTGATCTTTATTTTTGAACATATGGTCAGGACCTCACCGGTGCCCAGAATGGCAGACTGAAATTCTAGTAGCCTCAGGTCCATGTGATAAACTACTCTGTTCTGGAAAAAAAAGGGGGTGCCATACAAAGACTGATATGTATTAAACATCCCCTGCCAGCAGGGGAGAACTTGCTTTCCTGAGCGTCTGTTAAACACAGGACTGCTGCCTCTCTATCCACAGAGAGTCCTCCATTTAGATTCATTTTCTATTAGAGAACTGGATGTTCCAAATGTTGCCAAATACAGTAGAATTTAAAAGCTGTATTGATTTAATGGACTCTATTTCACAAGTAAAAATGGATTTAATTGAACCTGCTCTTGTTTCTTTTTTCCATTTTTTTTTTGCCTCTTGCTTTTTCTAAACAATATCCAAATGAAACTTTACTCCATTAGCAATTAAGTCCACTATGTACGCCCCCCTTACATTTCAATAAGCTCAATTTTCTCTTAATGGCATTTAATAACCATAATATGTACTTTTGAAAAAAACTCAAGTACTTTTGTTGAGCAAGAATATTGTTTGTTGAATTTTCAATATGACTTTATTCAAAACTTTGCAGTGCTAATTTAACAAATCTCAGTCATTTGGTCATCTAAGCATAGAATAAGGTTCATGGCACCAATGTCCAAAGCAGCTCTGAAAACAGGTCTAACCTTTGGGCAACAATAAAGAATAATGTGGTGCTTGATAGTCACCAGGACTCTGGCATACAGCAGGGTAGCCAGACAGACTGAATCTGGGTCTCATCCTGCCACTTGTTGACCTTAAATAAGTCACCTCCAGTTCTCTGAACCTCATTTCTTTGTCTGTAAAATAGAAATAATGGTAAATCTATGTCATGGGATTTTTGTGAGAATTAAAGAAGAATATGTGGAAATGCACGGTTAATTATGCAATGAAGTTCAAATAGCACATTTAATCTAATAGAAAAAAAAACCATGAGGGAGGGGGTATTTTGTACCCTTATTCCCTACTTGCTTTGTAGTAACCCTTTATCAATTGTCCCTCTTGGGTTCTATCAAGAGATTTTCAAGATTTCAAGATTTTCTCAAAAGTTAAGATATATTTTCACAAGCATGAGAATAAAGAACTTTGACTCTTATAACTTATTTCTACAACATAAGCCTCGGGTTTACTTTGCTTGCCCTGACCATATAAACAATCCAGAGGCTATGCGCTCAGCCTTGTGAAGCAGATTTGCAGACATTGCCTCACCCTCATGCGGCTCCTCCCCCATCACAGCCATCACTGCCACCACCAGCCACCACCACGGCTTCTCCTGAAATACTTCCTGGTCGAAATGTCTTCACCACTCCACTCTCCTACAACAGCCCTCTTCCTACTCCCCTACCCTCCATCTCCTCTTGTGTAGAAGCAACTTAGAGAACAGAAAAATGAGCCTTTCATCTAAAGCTTTTCCCTTCTCAGACTTTCTTCATTCTCAGTCATCATGGTTCAAATCACTGCTCCCCACCTTGGGTGATGTGTATTTTTTCTCCAGCAATTTATGTTTATATCACTATCCTTCTCAAAGACTGAGGGATAACCTAAATTCTCATCTTGATCGTTTATTTCACGTCTGATAGAAATGTCCGTATTCAGAAGTCTGACCATTACCCAAACAGTATCTTAAGCTACAGTTATAAAGAGATTGGTAGGTAGATTTTCTGCAGGGTGATGGGGCAGAGGGTGGGGAATAGGATGGTGTGATGTTGGAGAATTGAAAGAATGCTTACTCTTAAAATTTTGGTTGGAGCCCAAATTTCAAGCTTAAACATTTTTTGCAGTACCATGCAAAGTACATAAGCTCTATATATTTTTTAATATTTTTTAAGCTTATATGTGTTTTGAGAGAGCAAGCAAGAGAGTATGTGTGAGCAAGGGAGGAGCAGAGAGAGAGAGAGAGAATCACAAGGGTCAAGGTTCTGTGGTGACAGTGCAGAGCCTGAACCAGTGAGATCATGACCTGAGCTGAAACCAAAAATTGGTTACCTAACCAACTGAGCCACCCAGATGCCATTACTTAACCCATGAGCCACCCAGGAACCCAGATGATTCTATTTATTTAATGATGTGTTGGTGTGAGGATTAATGTGTTGACATTTTCAAGGTACATTGGAATCTCTGATTTAAAGATGATATTGCTTTATCAGCTTCTACATATAGGCAAATCCTAACTGTGTGGATGCCCCCTCCATTCTCCCCAGTGCTCAGGTCACTAGAGACGGGACATGACATGTAAGGAAGGTATTTTTACCATGGTAGATGAGATTCTATCTCAACCCTGTTGAATCTAAATTTGGCCTCTAGAAAAATCCCCTGAGATTCGTTTGCTATGAGATTACCAAAACAAAAACAAAAGAAGGAGGGGGGTGGAATTCACCTGAAGGACCTTGAAACATTTGGAATAGTATTCAAGGAAATTAGTATCACTTTTCAGTTCATTCAATCGCAGATTTTGTGTTGCTGCATTTTATATCAAGAATGAAAGCCAATGGCAGTTGGCTCTTTCTCCAGCCAGAGACAGTTTTCCATATGCCAAGTTCCCACCAACATTAAGTCCAGTCACCTCTACCTCTCATTGAGCAACTTATTGTGAAAATAACGGAGAGAGGAAGATTAAGGGCATCTTTAGCATTTCACAGAAAATATAGATGAGGTTCCCTCCCTCCCCCTCTTCCCTCTCCCCCCTAGTCTCAAGTGATTTCAGTCTCTAGGACTGAACTGTATTGCAAGCCCATCTCACCTGAGTATGTGAGTGTTTCTATTGTAGTCACATCGCACCGTGAGACAGTAATAAATGCAGGTTGCTAAGAAGATTTGAAAGGAAAAGATTTCCAAAGCAGATTTTAAGGACATTCCTGGTTTCTTAAATCACCATGATGGGATAGCATATTTAGCAGATGGAAGAATCTTTTCACTGGCACTAACCTTTCACTGGTCTTCAGTTCTATTCCTTCAGTGCAGCAGCTGGATCTGTGTCCAAAGGTCCTCTTCCTTCGGGTAATTCTTCCAGGGAAATAAATCTAGTGTCCTTATCTAAATATATTTATGTCAAGTGACTACTTTCCACTTTTGTAACATAGATGTCAGAGTGAAGCAAAAGGAAGTGAAAATATCAGTTCTGAATGGAGAGAGGGTACCCTGTTCTTGTTCATCTTATTTGGATGCTTCTGATTTCAAGGCAGATCTGACGAAGATTCGCGGTTACACTATTGTTTCCTTAAAATGAATAACGTTGTGACTTTTAAGACAAAAGTAACATCACGTGGAATCACCAAGATTTCCTGTTCAAGAATTTCCTAAAATGAGGTGGACCTTTCATTGCTTTACTGAGGTTGCTTTTGTTTGGTGGTTTAAGTCCACAAGAGAGGACACTGATGAAAGAAAAGAGACTTTGAATGCCTTTGGCCCACTGCTCAGATGTCCTCATGAAAAGCAACAAGCTCAAGTCCAAAAGGAAAAGGACATCACCTAGAGATCAGTACTTGTTAGTTCCAAAGTGCTGCTCTGAATTTTCATTTGCAATCTGACTTCCCAGGAAAAAAGTTCACCGTGTGTAACACAAACAAAGCGGGCTTGGTTCATGGGCCTGGTCAACACCTGTGTGTCTGCTTTCATGCACTGTTTTAGATCTCCAATGTGAAGACAGGTCTGTGCAGTGTTTCAGAGAGTCAAAGCAATCCTTCCATGGACTCTGGCCACTTCTGAGTCTCACTCAAATGTCCTTTCTTTTTCACCTAGAGAGATCATATCAAATTAGAAGCCAAACTATTTTTCTATGCAAGGAGCATTTGCCTTTGATGATGAACATTTTTTAAAACCATGAATTCCCGTTAAGTACTTTGATGTGATTCATAAATCAAATATACTCAAAAAGCATGAAATTTTAAATCTCTACAACTGAATCACATATTCAAAGTCAGCATAAGTGGATCCCTTGCACGTGCACACATACACACATACTTGCACACGTATACCCATTTGCCTTTGGAGAATAACGTTAACGATTGTGGTTCTTTTCCGCTTGTTTTCCAAACAGGTCTTCTGCAAGGTGGGTGATTGTGAGATCTCTCCCATATATGTTGTTAAATTCCCAAAGAAAGAAAAGAAACTACCTTCAAAACTACTTTCTTCTGTCTGATTGTATAGTTCCTGACCACCTGAGAAAGGAGCGAAAGATGCGTGCTGGTGTCAGGCTGGGCCTCAATTGTTGTGAACATACAGAGCGCTCAGCCATTGGCACAACCATTCAAGAAGCAAAAATTAACAAGGTTGAATCTGAGATCTGGATGCTAATTTTCAACTGGCTGGGGAGCAAACTCACCAAACGTTACTCTGATGTGAGGGACAGCTCTCTGTTCAGTCAATGCTGCCTGTATGCCCCTCATGGTCACGTTATCATCACTATTCCTCTGTCACCACATTGCCGTTTAATCCTTAATGACTCAATAAAAAAAAAAAAAGTGAGTAGAATATATTTCAAAGCTTTTCTTAATGAGATTTTCCATGCTTCCCCCACTTCCTCTATTTCTTGTATATCTGAGGGCAACTTCCTTTGTCTGCAGTCAGCTTACCTAACAAAATATCTCATTTGGCAGTAATTGCAGCAAAAGAGTAACTTTTCCCATTTGCTTCAAACAAAATCTGGTGATTTTTTTTTTAACCCTAACAGTGTCTTAGTCTGCACAGATTGCCATAACAAAATCCCGTAAACTGGGTGGCTTAAACAACAGAAATTTATTTTCTCATGGTTCTTGAGGCAGGATGGAATGCCAACAGGCTTTATTTCTGGTGACAGCTCTCTTCCTGTCTTGTAGACAGTTGCTCTCTTGCTGCAACCTTCAAATAGCCTTTCCTTTAAGTACTGACATGGGGAGGTAGGCAGGAGGAAGCTCTCTGGTGTCTCTTCTTATAAGGACACTAATCCGATAAGGTAAGAGCCCTCCCATGATGACCCCATTTAACCTTAATTACTTCCTTACTCCAAATACAGCACACTGGGGGGTTAACACTTCAACATATGAATTTGGGGGTGATGCATATTTAGTCCATAACAAAGGTGCTCAGAAAAACTCTCTAGTAGGAAATCTCTTTTTTTGGTATGCAGCTAGAATCTTCACTTATCGATATGATGCCTTCCTACTCTTCTAGTCTAACATAACATAGCTCTCAGGTGTACAAATAGTTGTATCAAATGAAAGTCACACAATGAGAGCCACCACCCTAGATAAATCTTCTGTAAGCTGTGACCCATGTAATATGAATAGGGGTTGCTCAGAAAAATGGTTCTTGGGTCAAGTAAACTAGAGAAATGGAACATATTAACCTATGCTACTCACAATGCACACTAAAACTTGAAAGATTCTGAGCAGGCCTACAGTAAAGAAACCTACTTCATTGTATAGAACACAATATTTCCCAATTTTTTTTCAACAAAGAACCCCCACAACATAGTTAGGAAAATGTTGTCCTAAATCAATCCAATTAACAGAGTTTGGGGTGGCAGACAGAGAGGGAGTTTGCAAAGTTTTCTCACTAAAGATCTCTTAAAGGATTATCTCCTTAATGTTTTATAACCAACAATCTGTGGCACTGAGCTAGCTCTTCTGTGGTAAAGGAAAACAACATGGACCTAGAAATGAAGCACAAACTGAAGGATATGAAGCTCTGACTTCTATTCCTGGTTCTGCTACCTACTTGTTCCCTTTTCTCAGTTTTTGTCTCTTTTCTGCAGCTTTCTATCACCAGTAGGTGATAGAAAGTATTTTGTGCTATGGTTGTTAAACATATCAAAAATATAAAAGCCCCATAGGTAGGATAAATCAAAACAGAGACGTCCATGATCAGGATCACCTAAGTCATCCTTTTCGCTTGCAAGGATATCAAAGAAGGGGGGTGGGGAAACACCTATTCTTAGTAAGATAACCTTTGTATTCAGAAAGCAAGCATTTCTGACATCAGTGCTATTCCTGTGTCTCATATGTAATAGAATACAACTCCAAGATTCTGCAAGGACACGATCACACAGGTGCACACTCTGCACACAGGTGAGTGTACAGGTGAGTGCACACTCATATACATGTGTGCATGTAACGAAGTGAGTTAAAATGAAGAAGTTCGGTTTTGAGAGCTGTCAAATCATCCAAATTGATTACATAAGCTAATTGATCTGTGCATACAAAAAGATTACAAGAAGGCCATTACACATCTTAATAAATCCGCAAAATATTTACTTCACATTAGATACAATTGCAAACACTATGCAATGCTGGAAACTATCAAATTTTAACTTCTATTGGTTTGTTGTAACACAAGATCTTATTTACAACTTTCACATTCAAATCACCTGTCGTTCATCACTGTTCTTGGTCTGAGACAATAGCAAAAAAGGGACTGGGTCAATGATATTTTTGAGTCACACCCGTGAATAAAAGTAGTCAAAAGTTTTCACACTTCCGGTGAACATAACACAAAAGCTGCTTTAAAACGATATAAAATTAATCCCACTTTTAGATCTGGATACAAATCAGATTAAAAGAAGCACAGGAGGGGCACCTGGGTGGCTCAGTCGGTTAAGCATCTGACTCTTGGTTTCCGCTCAGGTCATGATCTCAGGGTTTGTGAGTTCAGGCCCTACATGGGGCTCAGCGCTAATAGCATGGAGCTTCCTTAGAATTCTCCCTGTCTCTGTCTTTCCTGCACTCGCTCTGTCTCTCTCTCAAAACAAATAAACTTAAAAAAAAAAAAGCAGCACAGGAAAGTAAGCAGTGCTTTTGTCAGCTTCTTTATCCTGGTCTGGTTTGTGTGAACATGGAAAGCAGGAAAGTGTGGGCTCAAGCAAGGTGGGAGACATGGGGCCCAGAGCCCCTGTTGGCTTCATTTCACTGGGATTATGATTACAGAATGCTTCTTTTAAAAGGGAACACTCATAAATATACAGAGACATGTTGAATTTCTGTACAGTAATAATGAACTACCAAAAAGAGAAATTAAGAAAACAACCCATCTTACAATTGCATCAAAAACATACCTAGGAATAAATACAACCAAGAATTTTACTAATTTATTTTTAAATTTATTTAAAAATCTATTGACTAGAAATTTATTTTCTCCTGGTTATGGAAGCAGGATCGCATGCAATCAGGCTTTATTTCTGGTGGCAGCTCTCTTCCTGTCTTATAGACAGTGGCCTTCTTGCTTTAGCCTTCAAATGGCCTTTCCTCTAAGCACTGACACGGGGAGGTAGGCACAAGCCCACTCCAGGTAAAAACATGAGGTGAGCCCTGCTTTGGTTGAGCCCGGCTTCTCTCTGTCACTCTCTCTCTCTTGCTCTTTCTCTTTCTGCCCCTCATGGGATTCTCTCTCTCTCCCTCTCTCTCTCTCTCTGCCCCTCACTCACTTGTGCCCTCTCTCTCTCTCCTCAAAAAAAAAAAAAAAGCAATGGGCACAGGGGGGTGCCCAGGTGGCTCAGTCGGTTGAGCACCCAACTCTTGATTTTGTTCAGGTCATGATCTCCCAGTTGTGAGTTCGAGCTCAGCACTGGACTCTGTACTGACAGTGTAGAGCCTGCTTAGGATTCTTTCTCTCTCCCTCTCTCTCTGCCCCTCCCCTGCTCGCTCTCTCTCTCTCTCTCTCTCAAAATAAGTAAATAAAAACTTTTTAAAAAGTATTTAAGATAAAATAAAATGGGCAGGTGATCTAAATAGACATTTTTCCAACAAAGACATATGCATGGCCAATAGGTACATAAAAAGACGTTCAACATCACTAATCATCAAGAACAAGCAAACAAACCACAATATCACCTCAAACCTGTTAAAAAGACAAGAAATAGCAAGTGTTGGCAAGGATGTGAAGAAAAGGAAACCCTTATGCACTGTTGATGGGAATGCAAATTGGTGCAGCCACCATGAAAAATAGCATAGAGGTTCCTCAAAAAATTAAAAATAGAACTACCATATGATCCAGTAATTCCACTTCTGGGTATTTATCTGAAGAAAATGAAAACACTAATTTGAAAAGATATATGCCTTCCACCATGTTTATTGCAACATTATTTACAATAACCAAGATATGAAATAAGATAAATGTCCATCCATAGAAGAATGGGTAAAGAAATTGTGGGGTATATAAATATAAGCACGCACACGTGTGCGCCCATACACACACACACACACACACACACACACACACACACACACACAGGAATTTTATTCAGCCATAAAAAAGAATGAAATCTTGCCATTTGCAACAACATGGATAGACCTTAAGGGCATTATGCTAACAGAAATAAGTCAGAAATAAATACATATTCCCCATGATCTCATTTATATGCAGAATCTTAAAAACAAACAAGCACTTAGATACAAAGAACAGATTGGTGGTTTCTTGGCGGGGAGGATAGGTGAAGAGTCAAGAGTCAAAAGGTATGAACCTCCAGTTGTAAAAGAAGTAAGTCATGGATATGTAATGTATAGCATGACAACTTTAGTTAAAAATACTATGTACTGCATATGTGAAATACTTTAGTTAAAAATACTATGTACTGCATATGTACTGCATATGTGAAAGTTGCTAAGAGTAAATCTTTAAAGTTCTCACTTAAAAAAAGTTCCATATTTATCTATGGTAACTGACATTAACTAGACTTGCTGTATTGATAATTTTGGGCATACACAAACATTGAATCATTATGTTGTATACCTGAAACATAGTATTGCATATCCATTATACCTCAATAAA